TCAAGCGAAGTAAAGTAAAAAGTTGAATCAGAGTTTGACTTAAGTATCAGAAATGTAGTTTATTAAAATTGTAGTCAGAGAGTATTGAATGATATAGACCCCTCACGTCGAGTATGTTTGTAAGTGTATGTACATACATATGTAGGTATGTGTATAGGCTTGTTTTACATAAACTCCAATTTAGTTGTTTTTTCTGGTATTTCACATTATAAGCTATTTCATTTTAAGTTTTAATTTTTTAGCTCTCAAGCATTCACCTAGTTAAATTTTCGCAGTAATTTTGGTTAACCAATTCACTCAACGATTTGTATTCAAATGCCGGTACGCCGCTTAAGTCTTTTGTTATGCGTTAACAAAGGTTTCGGAATGGTGTGTAAAGTATTGAAAGTGTACGCAGTAATTGGCTATTTCGATGCATGGCTTAAAACAATTTTTTATATTCAAGTTTCGAAAAAATTTAGATGTAAAAAAAATACAAAAATTGAAAAGAATTGAATTGGATGAGATAAACTAATATGACCAGTTTCACGAAAGCAATGTAAGTATAAAAATTAATTAATAAACATCAATTATTATTTTTTAGTCGAATTTATTATGAAAACTGGCAGAAGAGAAAATATCAGGTGCAATCCCATATTCCTCTACCGAAATCTAGAAAACTGAAAAAAAAATAAATAAACAAAAAATCACTCAGAGCGAGAGAGTAAAACTAACGAGTTAAGTTTCAGCGTATGCTTGCAAATACATTTTGAATATAACTCCTTTTGGCAAATGAATGTGAGATAGAAACTTCTGATGCCAGCACTCGTCTCTTAATAAAAACTCAATGAAATTCAATAAAATTGGTCTACAGCGCCATCTAGCGCAAAGCTAATAATAAACGAACTTCAAAAATGAATACCTCGTATCAAAAACCCTCATATGAGTATTTTTTTAGAACATCTTTCAAGAACTTAACCTAATTAAACAATAAATTGTGCGCAGGGATTCAATTAAGGATATCTTCCTTATTTGAGCTAAACTCGAAAAAAGCCATCAACATAGTATTATTGACATCCAAAAGTCACTTGCATTTGGTTTTACTCAATACCGAGCCAACAAGTTTGATTTCGTCGCATAAGTTTTATTACTTTTTACCCTGTATCTAACGAAATCACTGCGCGATATTGCTTAATTTCCAAAATTTCATGCGCCAAAAATTTGCAATTCTACATCAATAACCGAGTATACATATAAATGTATGTATTACGAGTATTTATTAAAGTTTGAAAACAAAACTAATCCTGCATTAGCACAGAAAACTCTCGAACCGTAAGTAACCGTAATCGTTCAATGTAAAAAATGCGAAAAAATGCCGCTGCGGGCTGTTGCAGTAATCGACGCACACATTCACACAAAACAACAAGCGAATTTTAACTAACACGCAGAAAGTAATGAAATGTAAGCACACAATCAAACACAGTCAATTGCTTTGCATACATATGTAGATGCAATTAAATTTGATTTTAGCCAGCATTAACATATCATTTGCCTACATCTGTCTGCTTGAATGCCTGCTTAACTCGTTGGCTACACTCTCAATTGGCCTCTGTGCGTATGCATGTGTCGGTGTGTTTGATTGTGCGCGCCCGTATGTGTGTGTATGTTTGTGCGGTGGAGCCGTTAATTTAAACGCGTGTTAAATTTGTAATTAAACTAATAATTTGCAATACGAACATAAATAGCTTTAGCTGATTCTATGTACGAGCGCAGCGCGTGCATGCAAAGCCGGTTGACTTGATTGCTGCATTAGCACCACCAATTGGTGGATGCCAGCATCGCCAGTCAAATGAAAATTACAAGAAACTGGTAAATGAATAACGAATTGCAACTGCAATCGAAATAGAAGTGGTCAGTGGGCTGGGCGCGCGGGTCACCTTCGTGCTTTTGGACTTTTAATACATACATGTATGTATGTATACTCTGCTCATATGTTGGTTGGTATGTATGTCGACTGGGTTGGCGCTGGCTAAAACGTCTTACCTACTGACTTTGCGAAATTTACCGCAGCTGTTGTGGTTTGAGCTGATTGGTGCAGCTGCTGCAGACATTGTTGATGGACAGAGCAGTGATACAAAACGGCCTTGAAATCATTTCTCCGCAAGACGTGACGTAGAAAATTGTACGCAAAAGCAATACTTGATTACTTAGTACAATATTTGCTATCGATATATGTACATACGTATCGGTAGAGCTTTTATCGTTCCTTAAAGCTCTTTATAGCTTCTTACAACAAAAGGCACAGGAAAAAAGTATAGTTTTCACAAATTTTCCTTAAAGTCGACCATACGTTAACATTTTAATAAATTAAAGCATTATAATGTCAAGAAATAAAGATATAAGCCTGATTCTTGAAGAAAAATAATGTGAATTACTAATCCAGCCATTTGTGATGCATAAGTGTATTTGCCATCAGCTTTTTTTTCGAAAATTTTCGGCCAAAATTCGTTAAAGTTTCTCCATTTCTGCGGCTAATTTTGGCTACTGCATCTGCATTTTCCTCTACTTCTTCTGTTGCTATTATGTACGCCATTTGTTGATGTGATTTTACCTTTGCTTTATTTTTAAATTTTTACATTGTGGGCTTCTGAACATTTTTTTTTCTTGTTTTCTATGCATCTTCATTTGTGTGTTTTTCCCCCCTTAGACTACAACCAGTTTTGCATCTCGCCATTTTAAGCATTAATGTTGATTTAAATCGAATAGTAAAGTTCAAATAGACAAGTCTTCTTTTAAGTATTTTTTTTTTTGCATTAATTATTTTTTGTTTTTTTTTTTCACAAAATTACCAGCTTGATTTCTCATGGGAAACCAGTAACAAGTTTTTGTTGTGATAATCTATGCGGTTATATAATGAGTAAAACTCTGGGCTTCATTATAAGTGAAGTGCCACGAAGGAATGGTTTTAATTATTTTTATTTTTTTTTATAAAAGAGTATATTGTTTTATTTTTCGTATTTGCGTATGTATATTCGTATGTATAAAGGCAGTGTCACATGATTGGGTATTCGCACAAAATTTGGTGAAAATTTTATCCCAATACAATTTATAGAGGCGAATATATTCTGAAATACTCAATTGGATTGGTTTGCCAAGTGTCTTACCTCTTGCAAGAACCTAGCATTCAGTGTTTAACTGCCTTCTTTGAGACCAGGTTTTTGCAGCAGCGGCAGCGCCTGTTGAATGGTATTGCAAACTTGTGCAGGCAGTCACGATTTTTTAGGTACATATTTTATCTGCTCATTCCTAATAGAATTCAGAGAACGGCATCCGTGATCGAATGAATTTCCTTTCGAATTTTCAGTTCGAACGAAGGGCGCTGGATGTCTAAGTGGTCCGATTTTTAAGAGGTGAAAACCGTAAGATACTCACAAAGTGAAGTGGTTCCAAAATAATGCGGTTAGCAGTTTTCAGAAGACTGATCCCATCTTTAGACTAAACTCTTCGAAAAGTTAACCCTAACAGTTCAAGTCCTTTAATTCGAACTTCATTTTTAAAAATCGAACGAAAGGGTACAGATCTGATGACTTGGATATATGTAGATATCGGCAAGCTAAATACTTCAGGTCCAAGGCTCTTTCCTACATACATATGTATATTGATAATTTGAAGAATCCACAATTTTAAACTTATGAAACATCAGAAAAATAAATTTTCGAGATTTTTAGTTTCAAAATAAAAAGCAATAAAAAAAAGTTCAAGCTCGAGCGAAGCCGATTGCAATAATTTCCAATGGCTTAGTTAAACTTAACACAACAATTGCATTAAGTTCCGGGTATATTGATAAAACGATTGCTGAAATGCACATAAACATGTAATCATATGGCGGTGTCATGACCATCTTCCAAAATTAAAAAAATTAAATAAAATAAATTCTTGCAAGGAGGTTATCCAAAGCATACATTTTGGATGAGTTGGCTTCAGTATATGTAAGTGGCCGTGGTTATATCTCGTTTTCTTCTTTTTTTCAATATCATCCGCCCTCAAATTCAAAATTTTTGCTTGAGATATCGCGCGCTCAGAAGGATGCACAGCTATACAGGGCTAAATGGATTTATCTTTCCATTCTGAACATTTCAAATCTGGTAAACAAAAAATGCTCTACAAGGGTCCTTCCATAGAAAGTTCAAATCACTTACACGAAAGTAATTTGAACAAAAATTGAATGGGAATAACTTTTATGTTATGCTATGTATATTTGTATCTAGATAAGTTTTGCTGGAATTTGTTATATAATTTTAATTTAAACGAATAGTGGCATAAACTGCGCATATAAGCATTAAATCAGATCTCTTTCCTCTATTCATATTTCGTTTCAAAAATAACCAGAAAAAGCTAAGTAAGAAGCGAAATATTGTCAAAGCAGTACACAAATCTTTGCCTGGGTCTAGGAGATATATAAAAAAAACTAAATATTGAGTAGCCAAATACTGCTCTTTTGTCTTTCCAAAGTCGTCTTAAATACAACTACTCCAAGGACAATTTCTTAGCGAGAATTTGGTATGCCCTCCCTCCGAATGGTGACACTTGGAAAGCACATTTTTAAATGTACATATTCAGAAAGGAAACTGGTATACCTTCTTTTTAGCACACTAATAAACAGCATTTTAATGCCAGCTTAGTATGCCACTTACTAGATATCCAATTCCAGCACTAAGTGCAAATCAAAAGACTTAAGGCACGAACTCGTGTGCTGCTCAACCTAAATACTTGGCATGTTTGCATTTCCGACAGCTTTGCTTTGCACAACTTCACCTTATTATTATACTATTTCGTGTTTTGAGGAACTAATGTATGCCGTTTTTACTTCATTGCAAGTTCACTGCACTTTTTTTTTCAAATTCAAAATGTTGCAAAATGTCTATTACAATTTATTTACTACATCAACTAAAATCGTATAATCCGTTTGAAAAAAAAAACAATAAAATTGGTTATAACATAGCAGAAGGAGTAACACTCACATGTTGAAGTACTTCATATTTGTTTGTTGAGAGTGTGTGCGCGTGCGTGCGTGTGTGTGTGTGCGGAGTTTTAACGGTATGTAATTAAAAAACGTTAACTGCAGATTTTTTCCAATCGAACGAACGCGTAATTACACAAAATCTGGTAGTAAGTACTTTCGGTTTTTTGTAAATCTTTTTTTCTCTTCTCTTTAGCAAAGCCTTAGTTAGGCTGCGTGTTGCAGTTTACAAATTGAAAATATTACAGGCGTTTATAGGCGTTTAATTGGTTGGTTGGTTGGTTGGTTGGTTGATTAGTTTCTTTTTATGATTTCGCCACCGTACTTGAGCGCCGAGCTGGAGTTGAGCGTGTGAGGCCACAATCACTTCTTAACAACGACTGTTTGGCATTTCAAATTCACTAGACTCAAGAAAACAATTTTAAATTGGTCTGCTGACGGCACAGCGACGGACGTTGACGGTGACGATGGCTGGCTGGCTGGTTGGCTGGTTGGCTGGTTGGCTGGCTGCCTCGCCGGCTGTGGCTGTGGCTTTGTCTATGGCACGAGCACTGACGCTTTTCTTGAAGGCGCAGTCGATGGCTGTATGCATATACATGTACATATGTATATGTCTGTTCCAGCGCTGTTACTGAGTTGCTGGTGAATATTGATTTGAAGTTAAGTAGTTGCAGAGTTTGTTCATTAATCTGCTGTGTTTGTGTTAGTGTGCAAGCATACATGCGTACATCTAAACATAAATATATATCTTCAAATACGGGCACACTAATGTATTTATATACAAAATATGTACATATTGATACCTAACTTCATATACATACTCGCCCCGTACTTGTAGTTGCTTCGAGCGCTATGAATAAATATGTATGTAGATTCGGGTTGTGGGACACACGTAGTATATAACAGGTATGGGTACACCGTACACGTTGGCAGAGTTACTCTGACGTTAACACCATACTTGTTTTGTTGTTATTGTAGAATTTGATTTTATTTTTTTTTGCAGAAATTCTCTAGCCATAAAGGGTGAAAATTATTCGACACACTTCAGTACTTGCCATCCATAGCTTGTGCTAAAAGAGTTATTAAATTTTGCTTGAAAATCGAAAATTCTTACAGTTTCTTAAAAAAAATTTGGTTAGCAGAAATGATATATTTGAATACATTTTTGGATGTTATTTGTACTATTCGATCAATTGGTGGTATGCAAGTCAAAATAAAGATAACTTGTTTTAAATTTTGCGTTCTCAATTTCTTTAAACGAATACTTATATGTATGTATGTAAGTATGCGCTCACTTATACTACTCTCTGATTATTTCAGCAGTAAAAATATATGGTCAATCCATGTCAAATTAACCAATGGTTTTAGTTTACCATTTTTGATTTGGATACTTTTCAGAACTTTTCTTTTATCATATAACAAAGTTGAACCAAAGGAGAAAAAATTCTTTCGAAAGTGCTATGCTTAATTCCTAAAAGTTTATAGCAGTCTTATTTATTGTAAGGAAACTGTTGTAACTAATAACTTGGAGTAAATTAGCGGCCTCATTGAAATATCGGAGATTTCGTATTTCTGAAATTTACCGTTATACGGGAAGCTGGTGCAATTTTAGTCCGATTTTAATAATTTTCAACAAATTGCTTTTTTGTATCCAGGTTATTAAGTGCACCGAGTTTGGTAGAAATTGATAAATCCGTTACCGAGATACACATTTGTGGTCATAAGTGGGCGGCGTAACGCCCATTATCCAAAAATTTATAATATTCTAATTTTATGCTAAGTGGTTATTGCAATCATCGATTTTAAGTGAACTAGCTCCAGTAGCTACTGATTTATCGCAATTTTCATGTTCCTGTAAATTACCGTTATATGGCAGGTGAGCAGGTGGTTATTACCCGATTTCAAAGATTTTCAACAGATTTCTTAACTAGACCCTACCCAAGCCTCGTACCGAGTTTGGTAGGGTTGGTGAAGCGGCTACAGCATTTTATCTTAAGTGGGCGGTACCATGCCCATTTTCTAAAAATTTCATAATAATATTATTTTCTGCCACAATTCTACTCCACATACTAATTTTCAACAATTTGCATTTAATATTTACTGAAATATCGCAGTTTTTGCATTTTTCGAAAATACCGTTATATGGGAAGTGGGCATGGTTACATACGGATTTCGCTCATTTTCAATACCAACCTACCTGTGACGAAGGGCAACGTACATACCAAATTTCGTTGAGATATCTCAATTTTTGCTCGAGTTATCGTGTACACGGATAGACGGACGGACGGACGGACATGACTTAATCGACCTCTCTTTTCATTCTGATCATTTATGTGTACATGTGTCCATATCTATCTCGATTCGTTTTGGCTGTTACAAACAACCGTTATTCGAACAAAGTTAATATACCCTTGTGTACTAGTGCGCTCGGGTATAAAAAATATAACTATAATATAAATTAGATAAGTATATATAATATAAATTAAATACATCGCAAGGAAAACATTTTTGAAGGGTTTTTGTTTTTATTTGTTTAGAGCTTTTGCGATCTTAGAGCGGTACACAGATAAGATCAGAGGTAAATGCTGTATGCCTAAGCTCCTAATAGCTTTGATATATGGAAAGCATCCCTGGTCATGGATGGGAGGTAAACTTAAATGGGTTGGATCAAAGTGTCATGCGCTTTCGTGGTGATGATGGGTCACGCTGGTGCCCAAAAATTGCTCATTCGTTTACGCAGCTGTTCCGACAACGGACCGCCTCGAGAAATAACGGTTGCCGGATCAACGAGTCCAACAGTGATGAGAGCAGTGTAGCCTCTGCGAGCTCTGCCATAGGGAGGAAGCTTTTAGCAAGCCTTAGCAAAAATGCGGAGACGGCAGAGAGTAAAAACGCGAAAATAGAGTGCAGGACATTTTTTTGTGTCAATTTAGAAACCACGGGAGTTTTGTGGTGGAAGTACAGGTTTATAAACTAAAGAGAATTTCTCAAGCATCAAAATAATAACTCTTTAAAAGTTTGTGTATGCAGTACAAAGACACGCCATGGCCCCTTTTTTCAGACATGTTAGACTTTGAGTCTGTTCAACGCATGCATGATGTCTTCTTCCTGAAGAATACCACGGTTATTCTGTTGAAAAAAATGCTGTTGCATAGTGTAGATCTTCTTAGTAATGAATACTTTTTCTACACCATCATTAGCGAAGAAACGTCTGTTAGCGCCTGCAACTTCTTCTTTTTTTTTGCCTTTTTTGCAGCGTTGCTGAAATATCTGCCTTGGGTAAAACGATTTTGGAATCTTAGTCATATACCCATATGTGTGTATGTATGTAAAGCTGGGAGTGTACAGACGTAAGTGTTTGCAATTTCAAGCAGGGTGCGCCTTTACGCCATTGGCGCATACTGGAAGAGCACTTGAAGACTTCAGCTACTCTGCCGGTCTATCTGCATTGACACTTTCATTGAGCCAAGCCACAGGAGGTCGTTTCTTTTGCTGTTTGTATCAATTAAATATATTTAATAATTAGCAGTTGCATTGAAGTATTGATGATTGACTTGCGTTTTCAAATAAAAATTAAAGATTTATAGCATCTCATAGAAATGGGTGTGAATGGTTGATTTGCTGCTCGCACAGCGTGGTGTTGGACATCATTTAATTGATTGTGCGAAAACAAAACCCTCAAGGTCGTATGTAAATTATATAAATGCGTTATGGTGTTCAGTCACAAGCGACCAAGCAGCTAAAATGTCAGACGGTGTGGAAGAAAGAGACGCGAGCATAAATATTTTTAATTAATTTGTTTTGGGGTTTTTTTTTAACTAAAAACCCGTGTTTGTCTAAAGGAACATATGTATACGCATATGTAAATCGGTTTTACGTCAAAGTAATAAATTTGTTTTAGTTGAATGTTGTTCCTTTTCTCTTTCAATTTAGGCACCCAGAAATATTTTTTATCAGCGAAATAATCAAAAGACTTAAGAAACAAACCCGATTAAATAGCAAAACGAAACAACTGGATATTCAAATGAAATTAAAAACCTAAATGACCACCTCATTAGCATAATTTCTACATCCTCATCGGTGTGTGTGAGTGCGAATGTGTGTGTATTTTTTCTCCACGCACTCACACATATACACACACAACGATTATTAGTATTTAGTTAATTTCTTACACGTCTTAGTTGCTCTGTGTTTTTCTACCATCGTCAAACCGGCCGTGCGCTAAAATATGTACATATTTCACCAATGGGAATCAAAAAAAAAAAGTCGTATATTTAGTGGAAGTAGTAGTAGTGACCTTGAAATAAGTATGCGATATTAACAGAAAGGGAAAAAAACAACCAAGAAACGACCATTTGCATTTACGCATAAAATTCACGCTTGCACAATTTTTACTGTATTTACATATATATACATACATACATACACATACATATACATCAGGTATTTTTAGTTAAATTTTAATTTTTAAATCTTACACAGAAGAGCGTGAAGTCTCATGCATATGCATGCGCTCATATACATATATATATGCAGCATTATCACAAAATATGCCTCTAAACAAATTTACATATTTAGTTACTCCATTTTATATTCGTCTAATCTTAAACTTTTGGATTATCATCAACCAAATGAGTTGAAATTAATGTGGCTATCACACACAATAAAAATTTATGTCAATTAAAATACAAAAAAAAAAACTTCTATCCGTTGTTGTTTTCAATTTCGTTTTTTTATGAAAATACTTCGACGTACTTATTTATGTATGCAAAATAGCATGCCGGCCTCTTGCGATCGCAACAACAGTTGCCTTTTCGGGCTATTCTTCTTTTTTTTGTTTCAGGTTCTCTTGATTTGTTATTTTATGAAACCTCACCGTCAAAACAAGAAATTCCATAACTTGTTTCTGTAGGTGGTGTGGTAATGCGAAAATTGATATATCCGATTTCATGAAGTTAATGTGATTCAATTGTTAATTAAATAAATGAAGGTAAATTTTAAATATCCTGCTCTCTGTGACACTGTCAATTCAATCCATGGTCTACTTAACTTGGCTTTTATAACGCGGAAGGTTCCTTCCTTTTTTTCAAAAGACCTTAGAGCGCACATAATTTTCCAACAACTCCCCTCTGTGAAAATAATGCATAATTTGTTTTGATACTTGCACATACATAGACTTCGAGCGAGCTGCTATAACAAAAAAAATGAGTTCGTGAGTGAAATGTTTTGTTCGGTTTTCTCTTTATTTTTTTTTAATTGTGATTTCGTTTCTTCCAAAAAATGTTGTCCTTCCCCGGTGCAAAATGTGTTCGATGCTACACTCAACCCTGTAAAAGGGCATGTTTTTGCCTTCTTGTTCTTGTCTAACTCACACATTTCATAGTATTGTCATTTTAAGCAACCATCTTATTTTTAGGGCGACCATTTCCCCTGAGAAAGCTTCAAAGGGCAGAGAAGTGCATTTTTTGCCTTAGAAGAGTGTAACAGTTTAAGAAACAAA